AGAGAGAGAGAGAGAGAGAGAGAGAGAGAGAGAGAGAGAGAGAGAGAATGCGAAATCAGGGGAGAAAATAGAGGGTGGATTTGGTCCAAACACATTATATGCATATATAACTATTAAAGAATTTTTTGAAAAGAGAATCTAGCCAGGCAGTGGTGGTGCATGTTTTTAATCCTAGCACTTAGGGAAGCAAAAACTGGCAGATCTCTGTGAGTTCAAAGCCAGCCTAATCTATAGAGTGAGAACCAGGACAGCCAGAGCTATACAGAGAAACCCTGTCTTAAAAAAATAAAAAAATCATAACAAAAACAAATTAACAAACAAACAAGCAAAACAAAACAAAAACACAAGAGAGAATCTGTATACTAATACCTTCTTCCCATAAATTGTAGAATGTGATCATGGAAGTCAGTTCTTGCAGATTTAAAGATGAGGTCCTATAGAAGTAGAGAGTACCCATAACCGAACACGTCAGATGTATTTAAAGGACAGGGAAATTTTGGTACAGACAGAGAGCAATAACTCCACGTGACAATGAGTGCAGAGTGGAAGGCCAAAGATAACCAGAAACTAGGAAACAGGTGTATTGCAGATCGAGTGACTCAGACAACTAACATGCTTAATTCAGGCTAGTGTCTGAAGCTCTGAGGAAAAATATCAGGGGAAAAGGAAGGAAGGGAGGGAGGGAGGGAGGGAGGGAGGGAGAGAGGGAGGGAGGGAGGAAGGACAGACTCTAAGGGGAGTGATATCATCAATCTTTTTCTCCCTAAGAATTCATCTTTATCAAATACTAGAAATGTTCATTTAACAAAATTGTCTAAAATAGATAAGCAACAACCGAAATATCTTCCTGGCATTCCAGGGCTTCTGGGACCGAGGGCTTCCCCACTTTCTCCTATTGTCTACTCTGAAAGGTAGAAGCAGCCACATCTCTGTTAGACGACCAACATCAGATGATGGGTTTCCAAGTCCAAGGAGATGTTTCCCAAAGACCTTTACCTCAAGATACAAACTATCTCATAAGCACTGTGGTTGTTCAATTAAAAATATTTCAGGGTCAGAGCATGAGGGATTCCTGAGACATGTGTCACCTTATCCCTAGACATTTCTATGTGACATCCTTTAGTCACATGGCCACAGTTCTGGTTGGCAAGGACTTTGAACTGAGAGTTATTTATCCTCAAATAATAGTCCTGCTTTCCAATTTTGAATAAAAAGATCTTATAAAACTGCTATTTTGTGTATATTTTAATCATTCATGTATGATCTGTTTTGGGGTTATGTCCTTGACTTTTATGAAGCAAAGGTAAAATGTGTGAGTGTTAAAAACAGTTAAAAGTGTAAATAGAGGGGCTGGAGAGATGGCTCAGAGGTTAAGAGCATTGCCTGCTCTTCCAAAGGTCCTGAGTTCAATTCCCAGCAACCACATGGTGGCTCACAACCATCTGTAATGGGGTCTGATGCCCTCTTCTGGCCTGCAGGCATATACACACAGAGAGAATATTGTATATGTAATAAATAAATATTTTTTAAAAAAAGTGTAAATAGATTAAATCAACATGATTAATGCTGAACCAATTTTGTAATGTTTTCAAATGTTGGAGTATTTGATAATTTAATCCACCAAAGATTCAAACATATTTTCTCTCATTCTGTTGTGGCACAGACATGTTACATTTTAAAGCAATTAAACATGAATTATCTACTACAGGAATTCACACAATTCAAGGTTTGATCTCAAATGGAGTCACAAGACAGAGGAGAGGTTGTATGAGATCCTTGGAACTTGGTTTCAAATCCGAAGTCACCTCCCAACATTGCTTTAATTCAGAGTGCTGCACACAGGATGCATCCTTGTGCTAATAGAATTCAAACCCACATAACAGAACAGATAAAGGGGAAAATCCACAGAAACGATTTGGAATTATACCACAGATGCAACATGCAATCCACTGAGCAAAATAAAACCTCCCCATGGAGGAACGCAAGCCGTGTGTGTATGGGAGCAGTTAAGTCAAACATAATTACACTTCTTTTTTTTCATCCTGACTAGTTCATCATTGCTTATCTACAAAGCCACAGGATAGCAATAGAGAAATTCCTGTTGTGCAATATTGTCCAGATGGATTTATGGGGAGAGATGAGGCCAGACACCCTGGTTCCAGTACAGTTTCTGATCTGGGCTGGTTCAAGATGGTCAGGAGTATCTTCAGCCACCTCTTCATGTTCTGATTCCATCTTTCCAGCCTCAACTCCCACACTCCTTAAAGCCCCTCCCCTTCTCGAAACTAAGGGCTCTTTTAAAAGGAAAAAATTCATAAACAAAGAATTCCTGTGGAGCCACCAGGAACCAGGACCTGATCTGTGTCCTAAAAGATAAAAGCAGGACGGTGTGGGCATTTCTCCGTGGTGCTTTCATTCTGGTGAAAGGCACTGTCACTAATGAGGGTGTCGCGTGTGCTCGGCAGGGGCAGTGCTCTGTACACCACAGTTTCAGCATGGAATTGCCACTGGCCCCAGCCTCCTTTGTGCTGAGCAGAGTCCATCGGAGTAACCTTTAGCAACATGATATGGCATGTGCCTCTTCCAACAAGCATTTTAAGAACCTGGTGTGCCTTCTTACTAGTCTTCCCCCGGTCCCTCCTCAATGCAGAGGACTGAATTCCTGAAGAGAGAGCCTCAAACTGCAAGGATCCAGATGCCTGAATCCCAGATGAAGAAAAAACAGTCCTCAACTAATAAGGTACTGGTAAAGAAGTATGTAACGAGCATGATGTACGTTCGCTTACAGAAACACTGGGTGCTTGTGCTTACAGGGTTAGCCATTAAGCAATACTGTGTAATGGATGGCCATGGAGAAGAAACAGCAGGACTCAGGAAACAAGGAATGTTCCAGACAGCAGTTTTTAATCTAAATGCAGTGTTCAGGGAAGACCTCCTCATCCAGTAACGTGAGTAGAGCAGAAGGAAGTAGCAGTGGGAAAACGTTGCAGAAAGAACAGTGGGCTCAACCTCCCGGCGTCGGGGGACCATATAATATGTTCAAAGAACATCATTAAGGCCACAGTGGGGGCTTGGGAATGAAAGAACAGAAAGCGCTCTTGACTGCTGTGACATCTCTCCAGCCTTCTTACTAGAACCTTGTCCTCTACACATAGAATCAATGACTTTAACCTACTTACCTCTCTCTATCATTTCCCTTTGCTTCTTCCCCCTTCTTTTCCTCATCCAAATCAAGAGGAATGGGGTATGGGGACAGGGTCAAGGCAGTGGTCATTTTTGTTAAGACCAGACGCATATTTCATATAGATGGCAATGATTCAATAGAGACGAACAATAATGGAGAATAAAATAAATCTATCGAGACTCTCATTCAAGAGGGAAAGGCAAGGGGCACAGTGATGGGAGCCGGCCTTGGCTAGGAAATGGGCCAGCTCAACAGAGGCAGTGGGAGATAAGACAAAACCCTGGGCATCACATGGGGCAATGGGGAGGTGCAGTGTATAGCTATGGTTCTATTTTCTTACTGAAACAACTGCCCTGAAAGTTTCCAGAGTTTGCTCATACCAAATAAGACCAGACCAAGTAAATGTGTGCACTCCAGCCCCACACCCTCCCACGGCAGTCCTACTCTAATGATTTTCCAGGCAAGGTGCTAGCCTTCAAAGTGCTAACTGGGTCATGCTATCCCCCTGCTTAGAGCCCTTAACAGACTTTCCAATTGCTCTTAAAGAACAAATTCTTTCCGTTGAATCTATGGCCCTGCAGGTTCATTTGAAGCTGTTCTTCAGCCTCCACACATTTTCCTCAATCCGGCGCTCTTCTTACCCTTTAGAGGGCAGTTCACGTATCACCTCCTCAAGGACGTCGCCTGCCAACCCAAGAATGAATGCTTGACCGCACCTTCACACATCACCCGGCCCTCTCCTGCAGCACCTGGTTGTAGTGGCATTTCATTTGTGTTTAAAAAAATAAAGATGGCCTGAAGATCTGAGAATAAACAGTCCCACTGGTCAGCCTTCCAGACCAGGGTATGGTAACACACACCTTTAATCCCAATAGCCTTCCTAGTTGCCATAGAAATTGGGTGGCGCATGCTTTTAAACCCAGTGGTGCTCGCCTTTGATCCCAGCCCTAGAGAGGAATATAAGATGGGGCGAGACAGCGTTCAGACACAGTCTCCTGCTGAGATTTCAGGAGGCAGGATGGCCATTTCAGACTAAGGTCAAGGTAAGAGCCAGTGGCTGGCTGTTTTGCCTTTCAGATCTTCAGGTTGAACCCCAATTTCTGATGCTGAGTTTTTATTAATCTTGTTTCACCCCGTGGCCCCCATGACTATACCATTATTTGGCATGGCTATTTAGTTGTGTTCTCCCAAGACTCCCAAACTCTCATGGAGACATCAGTTATTCACTATATTCTCAGCATCTTCCATGGTCACTGACTCATAAAACCGCTTCAAGACCATCTCTTCACTGAATGAAATCATTAATAAATACAAGGGTCTAAAGTTTTACTTAATAGTCTTTAAAAGTGTGAGTTTGTTTCCCCTGGGTATTTATAATTTATATACTAAAAAAGAGCATGATCAAATATATGCTCATGCACACACGCACGCACACACACACACACACAGAAAGAGAGAGAGAGAGAGAGAGAGAGAGAGAGAGAGAGATTTATGTGTTTCCACATAGATCTTTAAACACCCTTAATCAGACAAGTCAGTTGCAATTTGCAACTTACAGCCTAGACTTTAATTCTTAAGGAGAAACTAATGCAGGTATAGATAAACCCCTCACAATTTTTTCTTGAATACAAGTTTCCAGTAAACCTGAGTATAAAGATCTGCTCTCAGGCATAGAAGCCACGTGCATTGGAACTTCACTCGAGAGACTATATTGAAACAATAGGAAAGACAAGAGTATTGTTTGTGAATGCAACTCAGAGTCACTTCCTGAGCTTCTCCTGCAAAGCAGAAAGCGGTTCTCCTCACCTGGTTTCCACACTGCCGTAGAATTTTTCAGACTTGAGCGCCTTTGTGGTGAGGGCACTAAATAGTCTTCTCAGAGAAGTTACCCACTTGCTCACTCTCTCTCTCTCTATCAAACAAAATTGTAGGCAGATAAAAGCATACAAAATAAGGCAGCTAATAGATGCATAGCTGAATATACATATTTTTCTACTTCACCTTCAATTAATAAAGCCAACAGAAATATGAGAAATCCTTGAAGTGTTTCCTTTTTATCATTAAAGAATTTTATCAGGTCTCCTCAAGCAGTTAAGAGCACTAGCTGCTTTTCCTGAGGACCCAGGTTCAATTTCCAGCACCTTCATGGCAACTTACAACCAGTCCCAGGGCATCTGGCACCCTCTTCTGGATTTCCTGGGCACCAGTACACACATGAATATATGCAGGCATGTAACATGGTAGGCTGGCTTGTTGCGGTTTCTGTCCCCACTGCTATTTAGCCCCAAAGAAAATCACACAGAGATCTCTATAAGTTATAAAGCTGATTGGCCCATTAGGTCAGGCTACATATTAGCTCTTGTAGCTTATATTAACCCATTGCTCTGATCTATGTTAGTCATGTGGCTCAGTACCCTCTTCAGTGGGGCAGATCACATCCAGCTGCTTCGGTGATCTGGGCTGGACTGGGAGGAATCAACTTCCTCCTTCCCAGAATTCTCCTGTTCTCATTGCATCATTTCTACTTCCTGTCTGGTTTTCCCGTCTATACTTCCTGCCTGGCCAATCAGCGTTTATTTAAAACATAATTGACAGATTACAGACAATTCTCACGCACCACAGGCAAAACCCTCATACACATACAAATACACAAAAAATTATTTAAAAGATTTTATGTAGGAACTACTTTGAAGAGGGTGGGCACAATGGAATGGACACACCTGTGTCTGCACTTTGGAAGCTGAGATAGGTGATCTACTGTGAACTGAAGTCAGCCTGGCCTACAAAGCAAGTTCAGGCCAGATGGGGCTACATAGTCAAACTCTGGAAAACACAAAGAAAGGGAAACTATTTTGAAGAAATTTTTAGAATGGCTTAATTTTTACAGCAGAAAGACAAGATAAGCACCATCCTGTGCTGCATGCCTTTTTTTTTTTCAACCTGCCAACAAGTAATATTCTGTCAGTATTCATTGCTCTGAGGACACTTCAGAAGGACAAAATGCAGGCCAAGTTCAAGTAGTGGCTCTGCAGTGGTGCTCCAGGAGAGCTTGCCCTTGCCAAAGCCACCAGGGCCACCCAGACGGATCTGCCCCCAGGAAGCCAGCAGGGCTGTGCCTCGTGTTATTAGCTCTGCTAAGAGCGGGTTTCTTGCCACCTTCTTTCTCACACCTGAGAAACAGCCCTACTCTGCAGCCCCACGCTCGCATCCAAAACATCTTGAGCTGACTCCAACACGCATGCCTTCGTGACCAGTTTTAGAAATTGACATATTATTCAGAAGCTGATACTTCTGGGCTCATGACTCATCGTCTCTCTTTTTCACACCGGCTGCTTCGGGAATCCACGTGAGACGTCGTTCAGCTGTGGCTGTTAAAATTTACAATTACAATTCTTATGATGCTTTGTTTAAACTGATATTGGTAATGTTACTGTTTTTAGATTTAAAGAACAGTCTAGTTTTATATATATATATATATATGTGTGTGTGTGTGTGTGTGTGTGTGTTATATAACATATATATGTATATATATATATACACATATATCATCTTCTATTTTCAAAATTCTCAATTTTTGCTATTATCCTGGTCTTAACGGTAGCTTTTGATCAAACATTTTAAAAATTGCCTTGACTAAAGGAAGACAATATGAGTGTTTGGAGCATCAAGGCAGCATAAGGAGGAAGTCAATTCTTTGTATGGTTCCAGGAGACAAGAAAGAGCATTTAGGTCTTGACTTGAACTTGGTCAAGAAGAAGAGGGAGATGAAAAGGAAAAGGAGGAGGGAGGCGAGGAGGAAGACAAGGAAGGGTATGCGAAACCTTGATAAAAAATACTGTTTATAAACCTCTGACCTTGGAGTCCACAGCCACTAGTGGCTGAACTTTGCACCACTGCACTGCATCACCACCAGCACCACCACCCCGTGACTAAGCTAGTGGGTAAGCACCTGGAATCTCAGTTGCTACAAGGCTGAGAATGCCACCTCAGTCCTGCCCCCTTCTAGCCCCTAGGTCTCATTTGACACCTGCAGAACCAGCCCACGCCGGTCTCTACTTATCCCCATTGCGGCCTGGGCCTGTTAGCTCCGTTTTGCCTCAAACATTCCTGGTGTTGCGCCCTAGAAAGCTCTGGCTCACTTTCTTAAAATGTTGTCTATGCTGGTTTTCTTTATGTTGCTGTGATAAAGCACAAAGAGCAAAAGCAACTTGGGGAGTCAAGGGTTTGCTTCAATTTACAGGTTATCGGCCATCACTGAGAAAGTCGGGGCAAGAACTTGAAGGGAAAACCGTGAACGAATGCTATTTGTAGGTTTGCTCTCGAATGCACGCTTATCTAGCTAGCTTTCTTTTTTAAATTAAATCATTTTTTGTGCAATATATTTTGATTTTGCTTTTTCTCCCTCCCTCAACACCTCCCAGATCTTCTATACCTTTCAACTCACCCAACTCTATATTCTCTCTCTCTTTCTCTCTCTCTCTCTCTATCTCTCTCTCTCAAAAACCCAAAATAAAAACAAAACCTCAAAAATGAAAATCAAAACAAACAAGCAAAAGACCAGTAAGACAAAAATAAGGACAAGACAAAACAAAAATTCTGCAAAAGTTCTATTGAATTTGTTTTGTGTTAGCCAGCTACTCCCAGGTATGGGCCTCCCCTGGAGCGTGATTGGCATAACCAGCAACATTCCATTGGAGAAAACTGAAAGCTGACTGCCCTTTGCCAGTGGGCATCAACTGTAAATAGCTTCTTGATTAGGGGTGGCAACCCCAGATCCACATCCTGTTCTCGGTGCTGGGACCCCATTAGCTAGCTTTCTTATATAGCCTAGAACCACCTGTATAGGAAAAAGTACAGTTCACAGTGGACTGGGCCCGCCTACATCAATTAACAATCAAGACAATCCCTCATAGACATATCCATAAAGACAATTAGTAATTGAGTTGTTGGGTTTTTTTTTTCAGGTTGTCAAATTGACAGTTAATTCTAACTAGAACACTATCAATTGTATGTGTGTGTGTATGTGTGTGTGTGTGTGTGTGTGTGTGTACACCACCTCCACACCAGACAACTGAGTCTTTATCACCTCTAGAACTCTTCTTAGACTATGCAGACATGCCCATGCTAGTATACTAGCCTTGGGTGATGTAAGACTCAGAATTCCATCTAATCTCTGCTAATTTGTCATTTAATTAATGCTAATGTGTTCAAGGTGTTATAACCTGCTGCTGACCCTCACACTGCCCTGCAGAGAGGGAAAAACAGCCTTTGACACAGAAGGATGGTGCTTTGTTGGTGGAGGCTACTTATTCGTTCCCAGCTGTTTGGACCTGAAATAGCACACAGAAACAATATTCATTGCAATACTGCTTGGCCAATGACTCTAGTGTATTCTTAACTAGCTCTTACATCTCAAATTAACTCATTTCTATTATTTTATATTTTACCATGAGGCTCAAGGTTTACCAGCAAGTTTCCAGGACGCCTGTCTCCTCTGGCAGCAGTTACATGGTGTCCCACTGACTCCTCGTACTTTCTCTATAGATCTCTTCTTGCCTGGCTTTACTCTGTTAAGCCATTGGCGAAAGCAGCTTCTTTATTAACCAATGACAATAAACCTCATTCACAGCGTACATCACCTCCCACATCAGAACTTGACCAGGGTTATGTCTTCTCCACCGGATTTGTCGTTAGTGAGTAGGGACAAACCTTCCGATGACACCCAACTCTACATACTTCCCACAGCCTTCTGAATGAATGCAGGGCATTATCATTCCTCAGTCCGGGGAAGCAACTTTACAGACGACTGCCTTTATTTCCACACACCCCTAGCTCAAGGATGAAGAGTAGAAATGGCAAGTGGAGCAGCAGGTGTTTCCTCTGAGCATGTCCCGAGGCCGCCATAAACTCCCACACTGACCCTTCAGTCTACTTCCCCAGAGATCCCACACCCACTGAACACTCACGAACGTAAGCAGCTTCTCCATCCACCTTAGTTGGCTTTCTGTTGCTGTGACAGAGACCGTGACCCAAAACAACTCGGGGAAGAAAGGGTTTGACTTAGCTGAGCTTATCACAGTCCATCACCGAGGAAAGTCAGGGCAGCAACCTGGAGGCGGGAACTTAAGCAGAGACCATGGAGGGTTGCTGCTTACTGACTTGCTTGCCCTGGCTTGCCCAGACCACTTGCTTATACAACCCAGGACCACCTGTCTAGGGTAACGCTGCCCACAGTAGACTGGGCTTTCCTAGCTACCATTAATCAAAAAAAAAAAAAAAATGTCCTTCAGACTTGCCTACAGGCAAGCTGACGGAGACAGTTTTTCAATTGAGATTTCTCTTACCAGATAACTCTAGCTTATGTCGAGTTGACTAATAAATAAATAAAAACTAACCCTGATACCATCTCTCTGAATCCAGGAGGAAAACATGTATTACCCAGTGCTTAGGTGGCAGGAAGAGGGGTTTGAAGCACGGAGCAGTCCCTCCGGCCCCCATTGAGTTTGGGAGTCGCAGCAAAGCTGTCTTTCCCACACTAGTGAGTTGGGACTGAAGGACTGAAGGGTTGAACACAGATTCGGAGGCCTACCATCCCATCTCACTTCTGCTGGCGGAAGCCCAGACTCTTAGCCCTTAACAGACTGAGGGTGGCGCCATAGACGCTGTACCCTTCTAGTTCCCGGGTTCATTTTGATGAAATACGGCTATATGGCGACCTCCACTGACTAGCCTGGCTCGGGGCTTGTGAAGTTTGGTTACAGACCAGTCATAAACCCATGGCTCTTACCCCCAGTCTCGGCAGCCAATTGCTTAAAAAACTTTTCTCTGCTCCTCTTGAGGGAAGGAACCAGGCCAGGAGGCAGGTTTCTTGTTTTACGGAGCACCCCCAACCCCCACCCGGCGTCAGCTGAATAGATTGCAGTCACCTTAAAAGAGGAGCTCTGAGCTCACACACTCCGGAGAAGTGTTGCCAAGAACATACAGATTTCCTGGATCATTTTCAATTACTGCAGGAAGGTGCCAATTGTTAAAGAAAACTAAAAAAAAAAAAAAAAAACACAACGGCTGGGAGATCTTTTCATTCCCCCCTCTTTAGGTAATTTGTTCTGATTGCAACTCTTTCAAAAGACAAGATTACACACCAGGGAGGCGCAGAAATGAAGAAAGGGAAATCTGTCCCCTGCTGAGACTAGAACAAGCTCAGCTCCGTGTTTGAAAGCAAGGGCCAGATTCCCTTGCCACACTAATGAAACCTTGTTAGCTGTGTACACTGGAGCTGAGCAGAACTAGTGAGAAAGAGAGACACTGGTAGAGGGCAGAGGGCCAGGGCGCCCGTGCATTTGGAGACCATTGCTCTTTAGGCGTTCTTCTTAAAGACTAGGAACTTAAATATTTGCTAAAAATAAAACTGCTGTCATTAGACGAAGCAAGGACAAAGTTGAAATCCAACACCACTCAAAGGAAAAAGGACACTAACCACGTTTGCAAGTGGTAGACTTAAATATTTGTGTTTTCAAACTTTACAATACCCCACCCCATACACATGCCAATTCTATTTACCCCAAATCTCCCCTCCCACCGAGGTGGTATTTTCACAGTAGGCTAAGGGTGGGCTATTTTGTTTACAAGTGGTAAGTAGTTGTTTGAATTCCTGTCAGAAGCTACAGACAAATGGCCTTCCAACTGGCAGAGGGAAAAGCCCCCTGTCTCTGCATTGAAAAGATCCCGGCTCCATGAATAACCAGCACCAAGCAGAGACAAAGGGCACTGGCCCAGAAATGCACACGGCAACACGATTGACCCCACCACTGCATTCTTGCCTTGGCATAACAACCACAGAATGGCACACATCTGGGACAACAAATTCTTAACTAAAGAGGAAGGCAGGACACACAGCTCACACGGCCGCTAGGTGTCCGTGCCATTCAGTGATTACATACTCCTGTACAAAATTCAGTAACCCACACAAGGAAGCAGAGGTTCCAGCTGATCCAGGGCCAAGAAGAAAGTTCTAGAACTACAAGGTCCAAAAAGGAGGCACAGTGGCAGAAAGGTCAGATTCTTCCCCCTAGGGAAGCTTATGGTGACAACCTCTACGATTATTTTCTCTAGCTCTACATTTGCTGGATACATAAAGAAGATCTTGCATGGGAATTGTGTAGGCCCAGGAAGCACACCCACGCATACAGGTGTGCCATGGTTTGCTTGATTCTTGCTCCATGTGTTTTCCGTCTAAATAGCTAACTGAGAGTTGGTTGAAGGAAGAGTAGCACTTGTGTGTGTCTGTTTACATAAAAAGGCAGAACATTGGGCATTTTAAAGTTATCAGAAAAAACTCATTTTAAAGTTACTATTATTATTATTATTATTATTATATTAACTGGAGAAGTTTTTCAGAACCACCAATACCAGGATTCTTGGTTTTACATAGGAGGAAGCCAAGTGAAACGAAGGTGTCTTCCATCCTGGCCTTGCTCCAGTCAGGGCAGGGTGTAACTGGATCCCAGGCCCTGACCAAGACAGCGCTGAGCCCTCTGCAGGCTGGGGAAACGGCAAGAAAGATTCACAGACAAAGAAACAGTGTCACCTAGTGGCGATTTGTCAGTTTCTGAGCCATGTTGTAATGCAACTGTGCTGCTTTTCTGTGCCCTGATTTTCCAAGACAATTAATATTTCAGAATGTTTTTCTCTTCTCTGACTTCCCAACGCTCAAGAATCTTCAAGTCGGATGCCATCCAATAGCCCCCTTGCCTGACACGTTCTTCAGACACTTCTTATGCGAGACTTTCCAACAAAGACGCAGCAACCATCTGCCTCAAGGACCATGTCTGTTCTGGCTGTATTGACCTCTGCGTGTCTTGCTTCAAGTTTTCAGCAAAATAATACTTTCATGTGTGACTTCAGGTCTTTTACCAAATAGTAGTCAAATCAAGGCTGTGTGTGTGTGTGTGTGTGTGTGTGTGTGTGTGTGTGTGTGTCCAGGGTCTAGATTCTGCTGTCATTCAGATGCTGGGCCAGGAAAGACTGCTCTTTCCTACCTATCCCTGAGTCGGGACCCATGTCAGTCTCTGAAATTAGTTTAGCATTGCCCAGGACAGCACTGTGAACACGCATGTGAATGCTTCTCGGGCAAGCATATAACTCAGTTTTCTTGCTCGCAAACATTTGCCAGTCTCGCTATATTTGAGAGGACAGACCTGTTTCTATCTCCAGACCCTAACTTTGGTGATAGGAAAACAAAATAAGGAATGGTCCTGTTTGCAAAAGGCCCTGCTATTGGTGAGCACAAAGAACAGTGGGAAATCCCTTCTCTGAAGCTAGACAAAGATCACCCAAAAAGGAGACAATCGATTTAATTTTGGAAGGTTGAGAGGCCCTTATTTTTTTCTGTTTTGCTTTTAAGTGGTTGCAACATCACAGGATGATGGAGGACAGAAAGCCCAGAGTCAAGAGCGTTCACCGAAAGAGAATCACACAGGACCGTCCTCAGAGTCAACCTGCTGCCGTCTTCGTGAGTACCTGTGAGCACTTACAAAGGATCACCACGCTGGGCTTATTGGCTCTTGACCTTCCTCCATAGAAAGGTGGCTAGGGAGGGCCAGGACCATCCGAGTATCCAGTCACTCCTTATTCTGCCCTAATTGCACATGACCTCAGGAAAACAGTGATTTATAGACTGGGAAGGACTGGGGGATGGGGCAGTGTCCTATCTATACAACTGGGAAGAGGGCCTGTCTTTCAGGTTGGATGCCGACTTTCCAGTGTGGTGGCTTTAAGACCATGCATGCTCCTATCTGCAAAACCCATTGCTTTGTCAGGAAGTCTCATAAATGCACAGGTGACTGCAGAGTCAATTTTGGTGGATTCATGCCTCCGTTTGTCCTTTGGATCTTTGTGGGAAGGGTAGACATTGTTTATTTCTCCCCAAGAAAAGAAATGTTTTGCGACACTGAGTAAGAACCAAGAGTTCAGGAAGAAGCCAGAAGGGAAATGAGATAGAATGGCAATTTAAAACCACAGCAGGAGGATGCTTTAAATGCCCTTCGGAAGAACTTGGCCTTAATGTACAATTAGATTCCACCAAATTATGTAGCACAGCAAAGAGACTCTGTGCAGGTCTCTGGAAAACACAGCATTTTATTCATCCTGGCCATCTGAAACTATTTCCTCCACAGAATGGTCACTTCATTTAATAGTCAGCAAAGCAGAAGTTCAGAAAATAAGACACTTGTCAGCATTGAGACTAGAATTTAGATATGTTGGGTCCATTTTGTTGTCATAAAGAGAGAGGTACAACGTGAAGTATTTTTAGCAGACTAAAGTCATTTCAAGCCAGCAGCTTCCTTGTTGTCCTTCCGTTGTGCCCATTTATCTGTTTAGAATACACTTGCACTGTCCTCGGTTGCCAGAGCAACCGCATACAGCAGGAGCCTCCTTTCTAAGCCCAGTGATGGTTTCATAGACGCTCTACTCAAAACACTCGCGTAAGAAATACAAACATTCCCATGAGACGGGAGTTTCGAATTAGTAAGGGGAAGTCAGCCGTTGCGGAAAAGATGGTATGCTGAAGATAGCAGAAGAGCTTGGCTGTGTACAAGCTTCCAGAAAGTTCTCATTCTGTTGCCTTTACAAAGTCATTAGCCCCACTAGCGTCAGAAGAAAAGACAGTCGGCACACGTCATCAAAAGATAAGAACAATAAGAGCAAGGTACAACTACACTTAATATGCCAATGTCGTCATGAAGTCCATTACTTGGTATGCTAACTTAAAAGTTAATTAATATTTGCTTAATAAGACAGTCACAGCAACCAACTCTAACTTGATGATCTAGAAAACACTATTTCTATTTAAGAACTCCATTCATGAAGTTGGTCAGTACTTTCTATTTCTGCAGTGCTCATAAGGATTGGGATATTTGCTTGCTAAAATCTTAACAACAACAGCAAAAAAAAAGACAGCTGTCACTGCTGTGGTGGTTCCTCCCTTAACTAAACCCCAGCTCTCTCGGCGCTCTACTCCATCCTCTGCGACTCGCCAATACATGTTGCAAAGTGTGCCTCTGAGATGACTTTTCTTTTCTCCAAATGAACACCAGGCATTTCTCATAGAGCTGAAAGCTAAACTCCTCTGATACGATGCATCGGCTGACGCCATTGCCGTGGTATTTTACTTTGAGGCTAGAATTCCATTCATCAAATGAACACCCAGTGGGGTCAGATGCAAGATGGGCTGTCACGACTCCGAAGCTGCCAGACCACAGAGTGTAAGAAAATTAGCACAGGTTCTCCTGTGCCCTGCTGGTGTCAGCCGGCACACTAGAATGTGTCATTACTAAACTCTCCTAGAAATGAGGCCGCCAGGGCTGACCATACGAGCTGGAAATGCCCTGAGGCCTGGCTGATGTCTCTCACTTCCTACTTTCCTACAGTCACCTCCGCTCTCACTCTGCCCTTCTCAGAACTGTCTACAGAGACTGTGCAGCTTGCAGAATCCTGGATTATAGAAACATTTCTGGAACCGCTGGATCGCCTCTGTCATTGTAAATAAAGTCAGTGACCAAGACTCTCGATCTTCATGTGTGACTTTCTGAGAGTGTCTGCTCCATGGCTTCAACTGCTTGACATAAGAAAACTTAAAACGCTACACACTCAAAACAGAGCGTAGGGGGCTGGAGAGATGGCTCAGTGGTTAAGAGCATTGCCTGCTCTTCCAAAGGTCCTGAGTTCAATTCCCGGCAACCACATGGTGGCTCACAACCATCTGTAATGAGGTCTGGTGCCCTCTTCTGGCCTGCGGGCATACACACAGACAGAATATTGTATACTAAATAAATAAATAAATATAAAACAAAAAACATAGCGTAGGACTCACTGGACTGAAATGCAAAGTCCATGGAAAGTGGTGGCCCTCAGTCCATGTATGATTACAAGGCAGAGCCATCAGACCTCTAGGGGAGCTACAATAAACTAAATGACACAACCAAAAGGAAGTGCTCATTCGTAAGAGTGCCATGGCCAATGAGAACCGTTCATTTGTTAGAGCCATATTTTGAGAGAAGAATCCATGTTCATCCATCTGAATAGTTAACAAATGTCAGGCCATAAATGGACACTTTCAATGAGCCAGATAGAGTGCGGTGACTATGGTCCACTCTCATGGAACTTAAAGGTAAGATATATATATATATAGATATATATATATATATATATATATATATATATATATATATATATATAAAAGAGTCCATCTGTCTTGGGTCTAAAGCTAGAGGAATCGCAAAGAGGAAGTGGACACCAAACAAAAGAGACAGGAGAGCACACTACATAGGGTCTAGGAGGTGGGAGCCCGATGAAGACCATTGCTATGTTTCTTCTTAAAGGCTCTGAGCACTGGCTGTCCATCTATTCTCTCCCACCCTTACCAGTCGCAGAATCTGTTACTAAAGCTGACTATCTCCTACCAGGTGAAAGCACTGCCTTTGTATTTCTAGACTACGAATAAGCCATGGATAGCATGAGTCTGATAGTCATCTCCAGCTAGACTGAGATAGATATCAAATCCCCCATGCTCCTTTGCTCTGGAGCAGTCAGCTACATGAATCTAGTCATGGTTGAAAGTGTATCCCAAACAAAGCTACCACAGCAGTTTAGGGACCACACAACCATAGACATGGGCCTAAGTGATAAACTCGTGTCAAGGACTAAATGTCAGAACATCTACTAGACAAACAAGAACCTGTAGACCTTAAGACACCGGTCAGGTAGGACCAGGAGTACTTTGATGCTGGCCACCAGTCATGGAGCTGAGAATGAACAGGACCAAAATGAACATCAAGCAGGTAGTCCACGTGAAACGGGCCATTATAGCAGATAAGATAGAAACATAACCTATAAACATTCAAGAGAAGAAATTATATAGCAGAGATGTCTGCCAAAGGACTCAGGTGGTGCTGCTGCAGATCCGTGGTTTCATACATGAGCAGCCAAGTGGCTGCAGGCAGAGTGGGCATGGCCTGCTCATGGCACTTCACTGTCCAGGTGCAGTGAGGAGCAGGATCTATCATTTTTATGTGAATACATTACACACTGTTGGACATCATTCCAAACTGTGAGACAGGCCACTTAGGGTCATTGTCTGCTTGCCAGGAACTGTACCACGGAATAACAATTTCTGAAACCCAGTCCTCATGAGCTCTAACACAGAGACTCGGCCTCAAAAGGAAGCTCTGAAGATGAAGCCCAGAGCATCTGGGGTCTTCTATGGAAAGCTCCTTGGAGAGATGTTATAAATTACTGAGCTGTCACATTCTTTATATCTGCAGTCAGTGTTCAAGATCCTGTTGATGAAAGAGACAACATATATCTCACGTCAAAGGCTTTGCCATAGGAGACAGAAAATCTGGCTCTGTCCCTGATTAGATCCTCCAGTTTCCAGTCCAAGGTGCCTTCCAGGATTAATATCCTACAGTTATTCATAAATCAAGCTGTGCATTATAATGAAATATGCTGGCAAAAGACAGGCCCGCGAGGGCTTGTATAATCCACTTAAAATCAATTATTAATGAATGTTTGGCTTGCAGACTTTGTGTGCAAGAACTGGCCTGGTGTCCACAATGTGATCTTCTGTTCCCACTTCCCAATCAAGGTTATTATAATCAATAAAGCCTTGTTAAACATTACTGAGGGAGTGAGAAAGTGAACAGAGCTAATAACCTACTACACATGTTATTATTGTCCCTTGATCCAAGTGTTCCTTTCTCCATCACCTGGATTCTTTGTGTTGTAGGATATCCTGGTACTCATAGAAGTACCAATTAAAGTATATTCCAAGTCATTTACCTTTTAAAAAGATGCACTATTTTTTCAATTCAGGAATTAGAAACATCATTTCAGACTAATTTCCTGAACTATTTTCTATTTTCTTACAAGACTCATAATTAATACTTTAGCCAAAATGGATATTTGTAAAAACTTGATACCTTAGATGAAATAAAAAATGTTAACGAACTTATTTATGGTTTATTGGAAAAGCAAAGAGTTGAACAAGAATATCAGGTGCTTTGATATTTAAGTAAAAAACAAACAAACAAAAAGCCACCATCATCTCTTGGTCCAAAAACCCTTCCAGTTAGACGTCTGTATGCAATCACAAGAGGTTGAGGATTAACTTGGACCAGCCTTCCCAGTAGACTCTCATTAATCAGAACTCCATCTCAGTGTGTTCCGGCTTCAATTAAGCCAAGATTCAGCCTTCAATGTACTTCCCAGTAAAGTACTGAGGTCATGGTAACAGCAGCTAGCCAATATAGGTAACTTACATGTGTTGGGTTTTGGTCCAACATCTTTAACTCTATTAATTCTTACCTCATGAGATATGGGCTCCTACCCCTGCAATTATGCATGTGGAAATTGAAAAACTAGCCATACTATGTCATACTTATAAACCTGGAACCTCCGAACGTTGCCCAGTGACTTCCTAGCATGCACTTGTGTTTCTGTTTTGCGAGGAGCCTGTCACAGGATGACAGTGTGACTCTTGGGACACACAGAGGATGCTTGTGTGCTAGCAGAATCAGAGCATCTCCCCCTGGCAGGATCCATATACTAGTCAGCTCCCAGAACAGCAGCAGTCCTGGCTCGGTTCACCCAGGTGACAGGCCCTTGCTCCATCCTGTAGACTGGACTCAAACACTCTGGACTCTCAGAGCTGGACCATTAAAAAATGGCTTCCCTTCTTCATGCTGAAGTGCATTTCTTTTTCTATAATTCTATATGCTAACCCAAATTTTCCATTCTGAAGCCACAGTCGAAGCCACAGTCGTACACCTGGAAAGCTAACTACAAATGTTCTCTCCTTCACTCCTCAAGGACTGTTTTGACAGTGGGTCATCCTGGGCATTCTTCTCTGGGCCTTCGAAACTATGAAGAGCTGTTGTTTGTAATGCAGGGTTTAGAAACAGAAACAGTTCCCAGGAGGCTGAAGGAGACTCAGAAGTGGGATGCTTCAGACAGGACTGTGGGATGCTACCATAGCTATCACTCCAGACACCCCTTGCAGACACCCTCAGTCCCACCCACTGTGTAACCCACCCTGCTGCAGAGGACTTTCTTCTTCTCTTAACCACTCATGGAATCAAAGCTCATTAAATTCAGGGGCGCCTGCACATCACAGACCGCAGCTTGGTGCTTGTGATTCGAGGGTCCTTGTTTTATTCCCATGCCTGAGAGGTCAAAACTGAGAAACATGACAACTGGGGAGCTTAACCAGAATTCTGAATCAGAATGTAGGTCAGGTCTGAGAGCCAAGTCTGTCAGGAACCAACGGTCCCTCTGTAACAGCAGGGACACCCGTGAGCACGCAGCCCTGCGAGTAAGAGCAGGATTGCAGGTATTTTTAGGCAATTGTTCTTATGTTGTATAAACGCTGTTTAAATAATTCATGCCTTCATAATCAAAACCCTACACACCAACTACAGTAGATTTTATCTGCACACACCGGGGAGGCTTAAAACATTGCTATGTTCAGGAAGGCTCCCATTATCCTCCTCCAAATTCTTCATCACCTTAAAATCGCGGAACAGAATCCTAGTTTAAAAATCAGCAGAAGAAAATGGAGCATGTGGTTAAAATAATAAGAAAGAAGCATGCCTGACATCTAGAATAATGTTCCTCCCTCCTTTTTTTCTGGATACACAATAGAACTGGCTTGTTTCAAAAACACTAAGCCAAATATAAATTGATGACGTTAATGATTTTTACTAGATGTGAAATTTAGAGAGACTGAAAGTGTGCAAAGAGCATTTATCGCTGGTTGCCGTTCGACCAGAGCAAAGTAACATACACTGCTCCCAAGAGGGATGAAAGCTTGCTCAGATACCATAGATGCGCAATAAGATGATAACGAGGTTCTATTGTTTTCTGACAACTCATTGTCTCTTTTTCAAGGGCATTTTGTAGACAAAATCGTTAAGGCTTGACGCTCTCTGGCTGTCATAGGACGACACACTCGATCCGCTGAAAAGCAGCCAGGACTTGTGGGGACAAGAGAGAGGCCAGTTTTCCCAGGTGTTTCCATAATGATACCAACTAAGACATCAATCTCCCTGACAAAGATGGATGACACGTGTCTCTGTGATGTCAGGAAGACATCAACTTCTACACCATTAGTACACACACGGGCCGTAAGAATGAAAGAAAATAAAATTCATGCTTAGAAAATATATTTTATTTTCATTGATTTTAATATAGTTGCTATGAATGTAGGTGGGAAAATAAAATTGCCTGGTCATTATCTAGAGAATTTAAGGGCAGCTGAGAGGAAAAGGCACACTGAAGGTAAAAGTTTTCAAGACAGGGGATACAAACATAACATACTTACAAGTTAGTTTTTGCCGGGGCACAACTTTAGAGAGTCAAGTTGAACCCTGCATTCCTCGTATCATCTCTCCCTATGTCCAGACTTTCCTCAGTTTCAGTCCTTCTGACTGCACACAGGAGCGGAGCCTCAATCTAGATGCATTTTGAGTACTCCCTCAGTTAACGTATACTAAAAATATGAATCAA